TCTTGACTTTTTTCTTCATCGCACTCACCCTCGTTCTCCGCATCCATCGCCTTCTCGTAAGGAAGGTCGTAATTGGCCCTTCGGTCACGAGCGACCACGGTGGAAAGTAGCCGAGAAAGCGAACTACGGGAAAGGATTGGGGGTTTGCGGAGATAGGGTAATAGCGGGAGCAATGGTAGTGAGAGATCCTCGGGAGTGTCTACCCTATATCACGGAGACTGGAAGTACAAGGGACACGGGGCTCTTCCTTCTACTCTCCTGGGAGTGAGTCGGCCATCCCGTCGCTCTGAACTTTACCCGGGGTGAGATATGCAGAAATTAAATATTCATTCGGGTTACCATCCCTCGGTCTCTATTTCTCTTTTTCTCTCTCTTCTTCCCCTTCTCCCCTCTCTCTCTCTCTCTCTCTCATTCATTCACCATCCACCTTTCTCTCTCCTACACGTGTATCGTCCCATCTGATTCTTTTCTTCTTTTTTCTCAAAAGTAATGCCCTGGCTCGAAGCCAGTTCCGCCGAAACTCTCGATGTTCGACATCCTTTCGTCTTGCATGCATCGTACGCGCCGTAGAAGAAAAGTAATGATGTGCATAAATGTACAGAGAATACAAAATTATTCATGCTCCAAGATTATTCATGCTTCTCAAATCTTATAGATACCAAAAGCAAAATTGGCAAAAGGAGATATCTATCAAATATACCGGCCATAAGTGCCACAACGAATGTTAAAGAATTTCATTTAGCAATGATTTTTGTAACTTAACTAATTAAAGTTCTGTTATTATTCTCCGATTAGTTTCGAACAAGTATTTTATCACTATTTTAAACTTATTAATTAACGAGGACTTAATGAAGTATGACATGGAATGCGTGAAATTTGACAAATCTAGCTTAAAACTACGTCAATAATAATCTACAATTGACGGATTGTGCTCCACTTCTGTGGTATCCTATGTATATATAAAAGTATATCGTATATTATTTCTCTTCGTCGCGCATCTGATGCTCTCCGTTGTTCCGCCGCCTTTTCTACGAGCTCTATTTCCATGGACTCGGAATCGCGTCGAAAACGTACCTGTTGAACCAACCACCGACTTCGATGAAATAATGACGAGTGGCTTATGCGCCGTCTGCAGCCACCGCCGCGTCGCGCCAGCGGGAGGGCTGTTGGAGCATAGGGCAGGATGCAGCCGTGCTGCGTTGCGCAATGTGCCATGCCATCCTTCCCGTCTCACCTCTCTATCCTCCCACCTGCAACCAGAAGAGGTATTCTCTGTTGGTGCGGAATTGCATCGTCCTCTCTGCATCCTTCATCCTGAACACATCCTGCAGGATGAACGCGGCTGTGGTTTTGAGGAGGCGAAACGCTTCGCTCGGGATAAAAGGATTTGTTTTACTGCTATGAGGCGCCAAGCGAAGAGCGAGGACAGGAGAGGAATGAGATTTGAATAGCGTTGTCGTCGTGTCGTCGCACAAGCGGATCACTAAATTGTCGGAATCGCACGGCCGATAATTTGCGCCGCCTCACCATCGGCGGTTTTACGGCCGGGATTGCTCTCAGAACTCTCGGTCGTTCTTAGCTTTCAATATATTTCTAGGAAATTCCGAGCTCGCGTTTAAGTACATTTGTAAATGTGATATTTTCAGTGAATATGAAGCGAGTATAAAGAAAATGAAGTTAAATTAGTTTATTCGAAATGCATGTATTTATATTTTGAGATTAAAACAATATTACGTGAAGCTTTAAAATTTATTTCGTGATTAAACAAAATATTTTCGTAATAGAATTAATTTCGCAGAATTAATTTCATATTTATTTTAGATAGGAGAAACGAATAATAATTTCCTTAGTTCTTCGGTGCTTCGTTTATATATACAAATGAGTTTCATATTAATTCTTCGTTCATTTTATTTTTTTCTTTGTTCCTTCTGGAATAAGTGAGAAAATTACGAACACAGATTTCAGAAACTAAAGGTTCGTTTCCCATATGTCTTGAGAATGGTAATATCTACTCCTAATTTATATCCCACGCGACAAGATTTCTAATTACGTGAATCTAATCCACTCACGACTATTTCCCCAGTAAGAATTGATAACTTCTTTCCTCTCCCTCATCTCCTTTCAATTACTATAATCAACATTCTACGCTAATGGAACTTTATAAAATAAATTAAATAATTTGTCTGTTTTAATTAATTGTAATTATTTTAAGAAATTTATTAATTTTAATATCGAGATTGAAAATATTGTGAAAGAAATTTAATAGAGAAAAGATTATTAATTTGCGAAATAAAAATTTTCGAGATAAGATTTCAGAATTTTCAGTGGCACATTTTTTTATACCTGATGAATGGCAAATTAATCAGGTTTCATGCCTTTATTGTTATATTTTTTTTTTTTACTTTATTATTAAATCTGATTACAATATTTATGACCATATTAAGTATACATGATATATGTATACAAATACATATGTATACAAATCCAGAGCTGAGGAAAAATTGAAATAAATTCTGTAAAAATATTTATTTAAAGGATGGATTTATGAAAAATACTATTTGAAATAAGTATTTTATATAATAAATATATAAAAAAGAGGCAAATTTAGTATTAACATTTACCTGAAATATTTACTTGAAATAAAATACTTGGCATTTCGATATTTCATGGTAAAACAGAATGAACTTCTATTTTCTGTTTTCTATTTACTATTTTCTATTTTTTTGTTAAGAAATAGAAAATAGAAAATAGAAATATTCTTTTACTAGGAAATATTGAAATATCAAATAAATAATTCTATTTTAAATAAATATTAATGTAAATGGTAAATACTATTTGTCTTTTTTATATTTACTATGCAGAATATTTCAAATAGTATTTCTATAAACACATTCTTTAAATAAATATTTTTTAAATCTATTAAATCTATTTTAATTTTTTTCCTGCATTAAAAAATATATTTATTATTGTTTTCTATTTTCCTCAGCACAGTATAAATCTTTGAAGAAATTTCAATAATTTATCTTCCCAATTATTTTCCCAAAATGAATGTTCTTCGATATCTTCTAGCGCCAGCGAATGCTTCTTGTACGAGAGAATAAAATTCCTTTCGAATGTTCTGGCTTCTCACGATTGGCAATAATACCTCGAGCGAGTTTCATCCTACGATGATCTCATGTGCGTGTCTCGGAGCATCGCTTTCATATCGTTTCGAGAACGTAACGATTCAGAGAAATGCGTTATTATCATTATTTGTGATTCGTCATCTGAGTAGTTATATGACGATGAAGGAAGTTGTATAGGATTAAGAATGGAATGTCAAAACCTATAAATTTTATTACACCTATATTCCATTTTATTTGAACAATTTTCGTTTTAATGTTTAAATCTCTCTCTCTCTCTCTCTCCTTCTAACTTATTTCTTCTTTAATAATCGTATCATAAACTATTTTTTATGATAAAGATGTTGAGAAATAACAACCAAAATTTGGAATGGAAATAGAATTTTAGCTTCAGAGACATTTTCGATGAAAAGTTAATTCTTATTCAGAAATTTATGGACAGTTTTGTAGGAGATCCATTTTGTGATGAAAACTCTACTTCTGCATTTTGGACTTCATAATACGACAAGACATTAATCTTTGAAAATGACTAAAATTATCGACGTTTTGCATGAATTCAGATCGATAATGAAAGGGTTAATAATCCGACAAGCTGATTTCATGTTTCAGCCAGAATCGTAACGACCCGACCGGTGATCATGCCGCGCGTTTCACGGCGTGGTTTGAATTTCGACTTGAATGCGAGCCAATATGGGGTACATAACTCTGTGCCGACCATTAATTTCGCTTTTACGAGGCAAATGAACCATGCCCGCGCTCGTAAGATCGTGAAGTTTACATTTTTAACGACGGAACACGTTCGCCCCTGGTGTGCGTCATGAATTTGTTTCGCGGTGGGCGAACGAGCGAGCGAGCGAAACCACAACGATCGATTCTCCATGCTTAGAAGGGCGCTTCCTTTCGCAAAAGATAGATTTAATCCTAGGAAGAGTCTGATTTACAGCGTAACATTCTTAGAGTAGGTCTAGCGATCTGTTATCAATCATTAAAAATATATTTTCCTTTTAAACTTAAATTCAGATTAATACATCAATAAATATTCATACATATTCGTACTATAACAGAATTATACTTTTTATGCATTTCCATTGTAGTCTTTCAAATATTTGTCTTTTTAAGAGAAATCTTTACTAAAATTTTCTTTGATCAATCAAAAATAATTTGTAGACTTATATTGAGACAAATATAAGTTTCTATAATTTTCCTATAAAGCCGATGATCTACTTAATATTTTTATTAATATTTGAGTTAAATATCTATTAAACTCGTACGATGAAAGGTATTTATTATATTTATGAGGAAAATAAAAAATTGTTGTATAATAAAAATTATAAAATAATTCTGTAAAGGTAATAAACAAGAATTATAACGAATAGTCTCATGGAAGATCTAAATATAAGCCAGACGGTTTAATTCGTGTTAGTAACATAGATAACTTTTGGTAATAAAGGGCAATGTTACAAGGGCATTGTGCCATGTTACAATCGCTCCTGCGCTCCTCTATAATATCGATATATCGGAATCCCGATGAGACTCTGGCATTGTCGACTGCAACAGCGCGGTTAGAGGTATTTCCTATCGACAAGGGAAGGACTTTAACTAGTTAAAGCCACTTTCAGTAAGGGTCGCATTGCCGTAACCTCTTTACGGAATTACGACCCTTATGGAAAATTCCGAAGGAATTCGTCGGCTACGAACGGAAACTCGTTAAATTAATTTGCCCCAAGAACGCGATACCGTCACCGACGTAATTATAAAATTACGAGACTTGCGGCAAATTGATTTATATGCATCTTATCAGTTGTGTCTGATTAAATACATGATTAAATATGTTTACAATAACGATCATTAATTCCTGCAATTTTGGTTTTATTTCAGAGCAATCGGCAGAGAAGTGAACAACAAAAAACACACGTAGTAAGTCTTTTTATAAATATCTTTATGAATTCTATCCAGCCAAATGGCACGTTTGTGAACTGAAAATTAAAGTTTTTCTAAATTAAATTGAAATATTATTTAAGCTTTAAAATTCAGCTTACATTGATAAGGCCTTTTCGTTACTTATTGTGTGTATTTACATTATAATCTTATAACATTTTGTTTATTTCACGTATTTTTCGTTATGTACACTAGTTAACAAAATATTATCATTAGCCTCAGTGATCGAATTGATTGAGACACGGAAAGTTCGAATTCTGACTGAGGTAATATTTTTTGCAATAAATTATTTACAGCTTTTTAAAATACTTACTAGCATTAAATTATTCACAGTTTTTTAGGATGCTTATTAGCATATATCAATATAATCAAATTACTTGATATTAAATTTGAAGATATTACTAGCGCAGTTTAGTTTAAGATCGCTTTTAAAAATTGAAAATAATTTCGAGTGAAAGAGCGGGGGGGGGGGGTAGAATTAGATATGTATATAAATTCATACCACGAAATATTATTTAAGCCTTAAGATACAATTCAGACCGCGAAAAGACCTTTCTTTCCTTCTTGAAAATTTTTCTATTAACCTCGATAAAAGCAAGGAGCAAAAGGAATTCGACAGTATCCTTTGACATCGCTTACAAAAGTACAAACATACTGACTTTGGACACCAGTTCATACCAATCACAAAATCAATATCTCACTAAATTGACGTAACATTGTTTGCCGTTGCTCCACTGTATCGCAATTGTATGTGTACAGCAAACGTTGACGTAGATGGTCACTAAAGTTCAAAGTAATTTCAGGTCGCGCGGCAAAACATTTAGCACAGATTCCTTAGCGTCCATTGACGATCTCGGAACACGTCCGCGGCATTGTTTGAGTTTCGATTTGAACACGGTCCAATATGTACCGTGTGGTACATAGTCTATATTAGCTTCTCATTTGCCTGGTACATGCGAGAAAGCAGCCAATTAAATTAACTAATAATACGCATCATAATCATCTTACATCACGCACCGTTCGATCAATTATCAATTACTTGACAGTGAAACGTCGCGACAAATTAGCAATAGGACTATCAAGTACAATTATTGTATAAAAATATGATTAATTTTAAATATTATTTAAAAAATTATAATGAATTATGAATATTGTGTAATTATGACTCATATAAAAATTGTTCCTTTTGAGATATTTATATATAATCAGATATCAATCGAAAAAGTCGATTTTTAATTGAAAATCGAAATCATTCTCTTTTCATGCGGGTAACTTTGAAAAGTTTTCTCGTAGAAAGTAGTTTTCTCGTTTTAAATCTGATTGCGTGGAACATACAAGTAGGATGAGCCAGATGATACACCGTAATGTAAGAGAACCGAGTTATTGCTCTCGATTTTATACAGCGTGGAATTTTCAGATAAAATGAGAAAGCAATAGGACGCATCAGGAGTTAACGGCGAAACATTTACCGAATCTCTTCGAGCGTGCTTCGCGACATCGTCGTTCGAGTTTCGACTTGAACCCAAGCCAATCTGCGGACCGCTGTTTTGCCCTTCAGAGCGCGACAAATCGCATCGTAAGGACGATCGTTATGGCGATTCCTTAAAATCCTTATTCCATGGCTCACCGCTACCATCGCTGCTGTCATTGAGAGAGAGAGAGAGAGAGAGAGAGAGAGAGAGAGAGAGAGAGAGAGAGAAGTGAAACCGCTTTCTTAAATATTATTCGTTCCGAAACGTTCTATTATTCCACGCAAGACAAAAGCGACCGGCAGGAATTTCGATCCTGCCACACCAGAGAATTTTCACCGAATACATGGGAATCAGCGGCGGCTTCGAGCCTCTATTTCTTTCTTTCTCTCTCTCTCTCTCTCTCTCTCTCTCTCTCTCTCTCTTTTCTCTCTTGTTTCTCTTATCCCTCTTCTTTTTTCACCAGGACGAATACGTCCCTATCGACGCGAATCGAATCGGCAGAATTATGTTGTTGCGTCGGCAAAACGAGATATCTCGTTCCTCGCCTTCGACGGGCGTTCTAGTGTTTTATGTAAAGATCGAACAATTTTATTCCACGTCCTCGAGTACATACACTCTTCTTTTCTCTCCACATGTTTTCTTTTTTCTCTGTCTCTTTCTCTCTCTCCCTATGTTTTTCTCTTCTCATCTCTTTCTTTTTCCTTTAGGGATCTCCTCTCCTACCGTGCCATAAATTTCATCCGCGTTACCCCTCCTTGTGCTTTGCACTGTTACTCGCCCATATATTCCGATATCCTAGAACTCAACCTTGTTCCCGCAACCCATTTCGAAGCACTCCCGCGGTTACTTTGGCTCACCCACCTTATACGTATATCGCGAATTCCGATATCGCGACCGCATCATGCATATATATATCTATAGGTACATTTGGCAACTATATCTTCGTGTGCGTCATATAGAACAGATAGGGCTTTCAGTTTCATCACCGTTTTGAACACCCGAGATGGGAACATGGTTATTTTATTCATTTAAATTGCATTAACACCTCTGATCTATAATATTCAACTGAAATTTAATCAATTATCGTATAATCTTCAACAAATTTTATTAATAGATCGAAATAGTCAACATCTACGAATTAATTTATAAGAAATCTTATCATAAAGTAATATTTGAAAGTATATTTTAATATTTATTATAATTGTGCATGAATTTAATATACTTTATATATAAATTAATTATAATACATTATAATAGATTTTATATAATATATTATAATAGATTTTATATACATACAATTAATATTTAATATATGAATTTATTATGTCTTATGTTTATAAACATCGAGTTCATTTATTAAAATTTATTTAAAATATTTACCAGTTAGATATGCAGGTTTTTAAATTTTATAAACTTTACAACAATGAGAAAGCACAAGTGGCATACTTGATATTCCTGCTATTTTTTGCTGGAGCACAAGAAAAGGTATGATGTATGAAATAGACGTCACATTAAAGATGATCTATTATGAAACGCCAGAGTCCGATGTTATAAAAATCCATCGTCCATCTACCGCCCGGACTTTTTAATACATCCTTTTTTTCTTTGAAATCTCGCGTTTCTCTTGTTTCGTTTTTACATGCAACATCAACAACGATGTGTCGTCCTTCGCTTTTAATCCACCCGGGGAAGTCGATTCTCTCGTGCAATTCTTCTCCCCTAGAACGATTTTCATTCTATTTGCTTGGCTGCCGTTTAACGGCCATGCGCTGCTAAACCACCGCAATACGATGGGTGCGCCAAGGAAACCGTATTTTTCTCGTCTTTGATTTTTCTAAAAAACGAACTCCATTTTATTTGTACAGTTACCATCGTATTCCGTACGAATCTCTTTTCTACCTCGCCGGACATTCCGATATCCCAGTGCTTAACCTTGTTGCTCAAACTCATTTCGGAGCTTTCTTTGCTAGTCTTTCATTTTTCTTTATTTATTTAATACAAAATTCCATGGCGTATTAGTTTGGATTTTCAAATTGTAAATTTTAATTTTTTAAAGCATATCACATTTGAATATCCGAAGTTTGTTTTTATTTTTTCTGAGATATACATGTAATTACGATCCTTTTTATTTACGATTTATGTATATCTTTAGTATTGAATTTATTTTTTATGTCCGTACATTCTTATTGATTAATTTTATTGTAATTATTTGTGTATATAATATATGTCTTAATTCATATTCTCTGCAGATTTTACAACTTTTTAGATACGATAAAGGAGGATGTTAAAAAAGAGTAAGTAAAAGAAATATTCAAATAATATAAACTAAAAAGACTTCCTACTCTAACAAATTAAACTAATAGTGCATGAGAATCAGGCGCGGTAAGTGCGCAAATTAACGTCTTTTTTAATAAGTCATATTTATTCAGTAAGTCAATTATTTAAAAGCTTTCAACACTGAAATGGATAACACGTTTATGCGCAATTTTTGAGGTGTTCCTCAAACGCTATAAATTTTTAAAAAATTTTATCATATCCAAGAGGTGAAAATCTACACGCAAAAACACTATCTCTTTTACTTATACCTTTTTATGGAAAATAATCATTTTATTCTTTTTTAACATCTTCCTTTCTTTTCTCCTAATTTGTATGTGTGATTCAATATTCGATATGGTGATTTTTAACTTTCTTGCGAACGATCCGCCTTTTCAGCGAGACGGATCTATTCGACCCGACGATTTCCGTAATCCGTAATCCACTCGATTCTCGCTTGTCGGCGTGAAATTTTAATACCAAATCGATCTCACCGCCACGGCTTTATCGCCTGAGCGTGATATCGATTTCGACCGTCGCGACAATTACGATTGACGTTTCGATACGTGATCGAGAAGCGGCCCGATCGGATTCCTCGCCTCGACGTTGCTTTCAACAACAATGGGGGCTTCACCTAGCACAACCCGTTCTCCTCACGAGTTACCGTTCAGCGTCGAGTTCCATCATCATGAGAGACACACTTTCTTGCCAATAGTGTAACCCCACAAATCTCGAGAGAATCTTAGCATCGAAAAGAAAAAAGAGAAACGAGACAGAAAAAAGAGAAACGAGACAGAAAAAGATAGAAAAAAAATAAGGATAAAAGAAGAAGAAAGGAGAAAAGAAATAAGGAATAAAGAAAATCAAGAGAAAGAAAAGAATAAATCTGTTTATTATTTTGAGACACATACAAGTCCCATGAAAACAAAGATGGCGTAGAAACCAAGACGATACGAAGCAGCGAACGGGAGAAATGGTAAAAATCGAAAAAGCAATCGACAGAAGCATAGAATAAATATGGAGGCCGATATATTGGTGAAAATATTTGCTTTATTTAGAAATTACTATATAAAGTTGAGAATATTTGTATTGTAGACAAAGCGTTTATACAATGATGAAGCAAAATTACATGCGTTCGCGACTGCGTAAAAATAACTTGAATAATTCATTTTCGAAAGAATGATGGAAAAAATG